ATCGCATCTCAATATATATTATAATGTATCAAGTGGTGATCGTTACCCTATACCTGACACCTCGGCTCCAGTCTATATAACAGTTGGAGACGGAGGAAATCTTGAAGGTCTTGCTGGAAGGTAAGGCAGGTCTAACTATTTGAAACTTCAATAGAACTGAATATTTTTACTAGAGTGGAATACCTTTTGGAAGTACCAAGTTACTCAGATAAACCCATTATAATTCATTATTAGGTTTTTGGATCCTCAACCAGAGTATTCTGCATTCCGTGAAGCCAGTTATGGTCATTCTACATTGGAGATAAAGAATAGGACCCATGCATTCTACCATTGGAATCGAAATGATGATGGAAAAAGAACTGTTACTGATTCTGTAGTATTCCACAACCAATACTGGTAAGTGTGTTATTGACTTATTGTTTTTCCTTCTCCTAAGATGGTGTCAAGGGGGAAAAAAAAAGGAGCTCTTATTGGGATATCATCCAGGAAGTTTATCCCAATAAGTCATAATAACAGTTATTAAATGCTTTTCACAAATATGAGTTTGATGAATAAATAACTTTTAACTAAACAAAGCAAACAATTGAATCTGGTCAGAACTTCTCTCTTTTTCTCACCATGCATATATTTGATTATCTCCCTTGCAATAAATTTTTTCTTTTTTCCTGCAGCACTATTGCATTTGGTTATGTTTATTTTGACACTACAGGCAGAAAAGGAAAATAACAGGAAAAATAATACACATTCCAAAAGAGAGGCTAATGCTTACCGTTAAAACAAACTACATTGTCATGCAGGGTGAGCAATCTGCGAAGGAGGAGACTTGAGAAGAATATTTGAGTTTCTTTTGGTTTGGATTTTTTTGATTATATTTGGAGATCCAAAGATGGACGCTGCAGAAGTTTCTCAAATTTCTTATGGCCATCCCACAAGGCCGTCAATTACCTGTGCGCCAAATTTCAGATTTCCTGGAAATATGTTGGTGAGCGGAGATCCGGGGATATGATGGAGAGGTGAACAGTTTATATAACAAAATGGAGGAGTATTTTTGCTTTTTAAATATGAGCATATAAAATTAGTTAATATAATTTTCTGTATGGGTTAATGAGATTTATGAAAATATATTTAGTTCCATATCCTATTGGCTATTACCACAGTTTGAGTACATAATACGTTCATTTTACGAAGTTTGTAATGACTCCCTGTAGGGATTGATGGTGAGGAATATGAAAAAACACTGAAAAACTTTCATATTTGTCAAGTGTTCTCTCTCTTGATAAATAACTCCTGACTTGATCATCGAAGAAAATTTTTATCACCAATTAGATAGAATTACTTGAGTGGGAATAAAATTTAATCCTCAATAGAGAGGAAAAAGTCTTCTTTTGAAATTTCATGTTCTATTTGAACAAATAAAGTCTATGTAGAAAATTTACACTTAACCCTAAGATGGTTGAGAACTTGAGATCTTCACCAAATA